GAAAACCAATGCGGAATAAATGCATATTTTTTTTCGATTTTTTTTCGATTTGATTTCCTTTTATTATTCAACAAAATAATTAAAATAATTATGTTAATTTATGTATTTGTACTTATTCGAAGCGCTTCGAAATGCGGTAGTTTTGTATTGTCTTACGACTGCAACGTATTTGCATGCAATAACTTATTGTTTTTCTATTATATTAATATTTATTAAAGAATATACTATAATAAAAAGTTAATTAATTAATTAAATATTGTAATTAGTTCGTTTAATAATTTTAAGAGCAAAGTATTTTTGTCTTGCAAAACTAACACATGAACAATGTTTTCGTTAAGTGCCTGTACTAACTAATTAATGTTTATTACCAACTGCCTGTAACTATAAAGGCGTGATTAATTCCATACTTCCACTTTAAATAATAAGAAAAGAAAAATTTATATATTAAGTTTATTTTTAAATAAAATGAAAACATGCAAAAGGTTAGATTTGTCTTTTACGTAGTTTAAATACCCTTTACACAAATAATTATGCTATAAAACAATTATTTATGACTTACTAACCTTATATCTTTACATATAAATTATTGAAAAAGTTTATTACCCTATATATTTTATATATATGTGTGTGTGCATATATAAACTTGTACTATGGTATCATAATGGGAATAAAGTAACCCTCGTTCGATTTTCAAGTAATAAGCAATTCGACGGTAACGAAACAGCTGATAAGCTTGCGAAGATGGGATACACTAACTCCCTTCATAAGACACGTTGCCTTTTGCCAAATATCCTCTTATCAGACTGAACTAAAAATATAGAATGTAAGCTATTCGAAAAGACCTTAACCGACTCTAATGGCCCAATATCATATTTCCTAAAACTTCTTATATTAATCAAATTAAGATTGAGTTGTTGCCAATGGCATGAGTTGATTTTTGCATGCGAAATACCTTGTTTGTTTACGTTTTACATATAAAACAAATATTTAAAATTTTGGCAATTTGCTAAGTGGGAAATTTATTTTTAAGTGTTGCATTCAACATTTTTTGCCTTAAATCAGTTGATTTATTTATAATGAGCTCATTTGTATGAAAGCTCTTTGTGTGGTAAATTATCATCACTAGCGTCCAAACACCTTATTCTAGTCAATAACTACTGCATTCTGAAGATGAGAATTAAGGACATTGGCATCTGTGGAAAGTGAAAGTTCTGCCTGTCTTATCTACTAGTGCCCTACGATTGCTAGAAACCAGTTCAGTACTTTTATTCGTCTTTTATTGTGTCGAACGAGATCTGACATCTAAAACTAAAATGCATTAGTTTGTTAATAATCTAAATCTGTCCAGATAGACTTTAAGGATTCTCTTCCGGGATAACACAATACATCTTATAGATCGGTGTGTATCATTATACATTCTAATAATAATAATTCATATCATGCAATAATAGGTATATATAATAATCTTGTTTAATATATTGTTGAGTAATTTATAATGTTGATCCAAGTCAAAAGCAACGAACTTAAAAGTTCAGTTCAAGTTATTCATTTTATATTTATATTATTATGTTTATAAACATTGCAAGATATAATAAGACTAGGAAAAACCGGATTACCGATTCATTTATTTCGAACAAAGTATTATTGTGGATTCAGTTTTCATTATCTTGTAAAATGATTGCTCAGCTTGATAACAAATGTGATATTTTGGCCTTTATTCAAAGAACTGAGTGTCAGGTAGTGTCAATTTGCAGTACAAAAGTTATATATGATCGTGAAGTTCAGCTCGTGGACCATAGTCTAAAAAATATAACTAACTAATTTCATTCCTTTGTCACCATGATTTATTTGAACTTTCAAAAAATATATATTTCTCTTAATCTCTTAATCTTAGTTAAGAATATAGTCGTGTATGGTTTATAAGATTTCGACGTTTTCCTCATTACATCATAAATACTATATCTTGCTAAACTTAATATGTGTTTTATTCACAATAGTATGCAAGGTATGGAAAAATTTAAGTTACTACATTTTTAATGACTAAAAATTTTTGTCAGTTCCTTAATAAATAAACAAATATATTGTAATAAAACTACATATCAATATATATAAATAAATTAAATACTTTATACGTGAATACTAATATTCGTATTATTTAATTTAAATCAATTATAAATTATTGACGATCAATTTTGATGTGTTGAATGTAGCAATGAATATTAACATGGTTTTATTATTATTAAGGAAGATAACGAGAATGATAGAAATATTCCATCATTTTTTGGATGGTTAATAAGTAATTATATGATTTGTTTTTCTCAAATACTTAACTTATAATTCTCATGTTATTGAATTAGTATCAACTATAAATTAGTTATAAACTTAAGATTAAAGATAATTCTAAATGTTTATATAATTGTGTTTTATGAAAGTTCTGATAAAAAATTTGAAGTTGACTTAAGTTTTGTTGTAAAAGCGTGAGCAGGATATATTTTATACAATGATGTCGTTCTGAACTTACTTTTGCAATGTTAACTTAAAAATTTGATAGAAACAGTTTTCTATGAGGAGATATTTAACAGTTAATATCGAAAGTGCAAACCAAAAAAAAAATTTTAATTTTCGCACTGTTTTAGAAAGTTAGTTGTGTTAAGCCTTTTTCGAGTTAGTGCATCTGGGCACTTTTACTCTATGATAGCTGGGCGGATTCTGCATAGTCCCGCTCACCTCACTGACTGATTTGAGTATTCCTGATAATCTTCTCGATTATTCAATGATTGGTCTAAGATCTGCGTACCGCCCCGTGTGGTTAGTGATTACTCTGAGATTAGATAATGGTGGCTATTATGAAATGTCTACCGATAGACAATAGACTTTTGTCTACCGAGTCGATTGGTAGGCAAATTTGGTATTATGAAACTTGATAGACAAACATTTGCACTATTGTGAATGATGTAAGGGTTTTAGAGCGCCCAGCTTTAATTGAACTTTTTTTGTTTGTATTGTGTTCACTAAGAAACATTAAAATTGAATTCAATTCTTTTTAAAATAAATAAAAATATATTTTCTTAATACGATATTATTATTTAATATTACATTACATTAATAAACTAAAGTAATATATTAAACTTAAACTTTAATATTCTAAAAATAAATATGTTTATATAAATATTAATTTTAATATTTTTATAATATGTAGTTATATTTACATTATATGTATATTACATTAAATTATATTAGTAATATTCATATCTTTTTTTAAGCAGTTGAAGCTTAAAGGACCGATATTTATATCTTTTGTCGGTGTTTTCCATAGCCAATTTTAATTCCATAGCCAATTTCTTGTATTACAGTAAGTTTTTGATCACAATACTGTTGCCTCCCTTCACTAAAATGTTTTCAATATTTTCTAGGCCCCTAGAAAGCTCAATCATAATTTTGTCCCACATTGGTCTGGAATGTGTCTTTTTGCAAATGCCTTTCTTTTTTCCATATTTGCAACAATATTTTTTCCAATATTTGCAACAAGTTTTGCTATCTGCTTTTTATTGCTCCTCAATTTTTCCCTACAACAAAGTTTATTAATTTTATTATTTCTTAATTTTATGTAAATACATTATTCGTTGAAAAATATATCTAAGAAATTTGAAAAATGCTTGCGTATGTTGAAAATATTTGAATAAATACACATAAATATAAATATAAATACACATAAAATAAAACAAAAATGCAACAATCATTATTCTCAATATACATATAACACTACACTTGAAATCAAATATATTAAATATATATTATATTATATTAAATCTAAATGAATTATTACTAACTATTAAATTAGTAATATTTAAGTTATATTAAATTTATATGTTAAATTGACTATATAAAGCGTTTTAACAGCATATATTTTATACGATCGACAAACTTCTACTGCTCAAATGCAGTAGAGAAATTTGTCTACCGCTGATAGAAAAACTTCTATCAGTTTGCACTTCATAATACCAAAATTTGATTTTGTCTATCAGCAGTAGAAATTTTTCTACTGTCTATCAGCGATAGACAATTCATAATAGGCACTAATGCTAAGTAGGACATCCTGTCAGTTTTCGCATATAGCTTCAGAGCTCTGTCCCTTATGTATTTTTTGACCGGCTCTATTCTAAGTCTCTTAGTGGATCTATCGTATTTAGAAATACATAAAAATTAATTGAATTTACACTAAAAAAATTAAAAATTAATGATAAAGATTTAAGTAATGAAGTTATAAGTATTATTGTCATTTCTGTTTATAGCCAATTAAGCGAAATTTTCTCTAGCTCTTTAAATCGTAATTTAAATATAAGGTACGCGATTACATTTTTAACATATATATTAAATTATTTTAGGTGCTTTATGTTTTTTTAATTGTTTTAGGATTCATATTAGGACTATATTATCTATATATGTATTTTAGATAAATCTATAATGATTCTTTTTTCAGATTTTTTCTTTAGCACATTTACATTCTTAGTTCTAATATTTACCTAATATATTTTAAAACTAGACATTAAGGCCATCCTAGCTATAATCTTAATATAATATAATTAAGTCATTAATTTAGTTAATTGTGCTCTATATATACATAAATAAATATCGCAATAATTAATAACTTTGAACTGCAACTATGACCACACTGTATTTAGTCAGGTGATTGTATTGTGTTACTTAAACAGAATTCATTAAAAAGTAAACCTCTATATTATATTCTATAATTATTCTATATTATAAGAGGTTGTCAAATACTCTAAACATTGATCGTTTCCTTATGTGTCTATTAGTAGATCGTAGTGCTTTGTAAACTTCTATATTATATTCTAAAATTATTCTATTTTATCAGACGTTATCAAACTCTTTTATTGATTGACCTCCTAAATGTCTATTAGTAGATTGTAGTGCGTACTCTTCAAAATTCGTAACAGTTGTTTTAAATTTTTTTTTATTTTTTTCTGATTTCAGTTTTTATGAAATATCTGCATAGACTGTTATGTGCCATAATTTTGATACAAACAGCAAATTTCGCTTATTCGCAAGATGAAATTTTTTTTTCGAAGAACGATAAAGATTTATCTATAAATGAAGAGAAACAGCCCATTAATGAATTACCAAAACCTATTTTAATAAACCTTCGAAATCAACGAGATATGTTAGCAGAGCAAGAACCAATCGAAGACAACGTAAGTAATAGAGAACACCGATCACATCGACCCACTCTCATGGAAATTGCATTACAAGCGTCAGTACAAGAAGGCCTAAATGCAGTGTCACAACTCTATCACAATATTGAACCTAATATTATTAAAAATCGTAAGTACTGACAAATTAAATCTTCTCAACTAGGTTTTATGATTGATTATTTTTTTTTTGTTTCATATTGTGAAAAAGGTCAATTACTTGATGATAATCATCCCGCTGCGTTGCTCTCGAAATTTAGTGCACCTGTTGAGAATACCGAACAAAGAGAAATGGCTGCATATGCCATGATTTCAACAACCAAAGCATTCAGAAAAAAGTAAGTACACATATTTCCAGATAACTTAGTAAAAATTATTTCTAAGAAAATACATAAATAAACTATTTATGAGTGTCTGATATGAGTGTTTCGCATTTCTTAGAGGTATATGTAATCTTGTAGTTCACAATTGCTTAGCAAAAAAATAATTAAAAGGCTTTAATGAAAATAATATGAAATAAGTTTTGTTTTTGCCAACGTTAAAAACTACCAAAGGGAATTTTACTAACGCATAGGACTTGAACTCTAAAAACTTTCGAGATCTGTCGAGAGTTTGTGGAACTTTTAATAACTTTCTCGACTGTTCGACAAGTTTCGCCTGCTTAGATTTCCATTTGTATACCATACGAAGAAGATTAAAGACACTAATTGTTTTTTTCTCATTAAATTAAATTCATGTGCACTTATGTGAAATATTTATGAGTGTGCAAAATTTTTGCTTTTAAGTTGTTAGTTTGAAAATGCATGCATTTTCGCAGAACACATATAAATGCCCACAAATGTTAACTTTCACTTTGACATTGAAATTTTCCCAATTATATACCCAACCATTGTAGCATCCATCACAATGGCAACGGATATCAGTGCACTGGTTGCCATCTGATTAAAGTTAAACGACCGCTTGCTTGCTTGCACCTGAAACTCCAACAATGCAACAATGCACAACTTGATTCGACACAGCGATACATGATATGTGAGAGAAATCCCATTCATACCTTGACTTATTAAATTTTCAACCGAATAAATAAATTTAAAAATTTATTAATGTTTTACAACAAATAAAAAAATTTATTCAACTTTAGCTGCAGTCAATGAACGGAAGTAAAATTTTCAATGTGTATCTCTAATTTTATATTAACGAAATTAAATAGATTTTCCGGTTTAATTATTTAATCATTTGAGTGAAGAACCCGCAGGAAAGTCATAAATCGAAGTTAATGTGTATTTCCATAGAAATTTTATTGTTTATGTGATGAATTATATTCAAATGAAATATGTAAGTTCATTTATAATTATTAAAGAAGCATTGAGATATATATTTATATAAGATATCATCATATATCTTAGTTTTAATAACCCAGTTTTCTTCACAATGTTTATCGAGTTCAGACAGCTAATGGTCTTAATATTGTAGTTTCAAAGATTTATAATTGTTAAGTCCTCTTCTACTGTGTTCAGTTATTCGTTTTGTGGCTTTCTCCTAGATCTAGTATTATCTTGTTTTGCATTAAAGATTCGTTTATTTTTACACCCAAAAAAACTATTTTTTCCTTAATATGAAGTTATCTCGTTTTTTGCAAGGTCTTCGTGTAAGTGAGGGGCTGGCTTTCGGATAACATAGCCAATTCATTGTTTTATCGTTATTTGGACCTTTACGGTGTATTTTACTCTATATGCCTTTTGTCTTAATATCATGTCTTAATTTCAGTCTATATTGTTCTACATCACACCTCGATTGAAGTGTCAGCCAGCCTAGTTTTCTGTGCGTTCCAAACTGTTGCCTATGTTGGCGCCTACGTTGTAGCTGTTGCTATATTGTTTGCGTTATGTGTGGCCACTTTATTACCACGCTCGGGATTTGACTTTTGTTACTAGCTTGTCACATTTATTCTTCATAACTGATGATTTAATATATGCTCAAATCAACAACAATAACTACTTTTCGTTCTTTATAAAGCCTCTTTATTGACTAGAGTTTACCTGATCTTTAACCTTCTTATCTAGCTGGTACCATGTTTTGCTTGTTAATATATTTATAATACAGTAAATAATATATTGGAGACTATACAAATACAATGGTTTGATATTATACAATATGCTTGATTAGAGGCGAATCGATCCAATCACATCCGATAATTTTAGATCAATTTTAGATATTATAAAATTAGCTGAGTTTTTAATTATAGATACTAGTACCAGCGGAAAAAGCTTCTGATTTCATCGTATATCAAAAATTGCTCTAAAAAAGATATTCTTATAATTATTAAGTAAATTTAATAGTTTTAATTTCTACTTTTAGTGTAAAAATTCTCTAACCTCTTATATAATTTCGTTATTACTTATATATTGAATAAATATTGACATTTGTGAACACGTCAATCATATTTGTCTGACACTAACAGTTAGTCATATTTGTCTGACACTAACAGTTAGTCATATTTGTCTGACACTAATATGGGCTATGCCAGAAATGAATGCCAGACAGGATGGGACTTTAACGGGATTTTGTAGAAACCCAAGTAGAGACAAGTGCTTGACGCTAAGTACACATTATCTTTATGTTGTAAAAACAAGGCCTAATAAGAAAAAAGTATTTTTGTAATATAAAAATTGGTTCATAAGAAATAAACAAAATGGTTTTGGTTATATTATATTATATTAATATATAAAATAAAATTACATTTAGTACTTACATAATAATTAAAACTTTATTTGATTCTTCAAAAGATGGGTTGTCTTTCCTTAGTCCATACAAAAAGTTGAAATTTTTTTTACCTTCCCTTCTCGTTGCTTCTTGACCATATGTTTCTTTTATTTAAGCATAACATGCAACGTTCATTCTTCTTACATTTTTTTTTTTATAATCGTACAAAGTTTTAAATACATGGGTCGAATTTTTTGGGTTTAAGCTTAGCATATCAGAGACCAAATTTTCATATAATTGTTTAGTTCCTATATTGTTTATGGGAAGACATTTTATATATAATATAAACATTTACGACTAATATTCTAAGAATATATTTTATACCGTATATGACCTATGCATATAATTGACACGGATTATAGAGATATAAAACTTTCTTCAGTCTTAAAAATAAGTTTATGATTTAAAATAAGAAAATAGTTTTTTCACAATAAAGTTTCAAATTTTTTTTAGATGAAATATTTAAATTATTTATTAATATTACAATGGTTTAGACAGAAAATTGTTTTTCCGGAAAATTTGATGATGAAATGTATTTGCATAAAGACTTTAAATTTTTTTAATTGAAATATCTAATTTATTTTACAAAATTGCCACGGCCCAAGCAGAAATTAAGTTAATGTTATTATGGCGTTTAACGTTTTTATATATATATATATATATATATAATAAAATATATAACTTAAAGGTCACCGAGAAATATAAATAAATAAGACTCGAAACTCAAGGACTAATCACGAATTTATGCACGCTGACGGTTACCTATCAGCGTCATACAGCGTTGAAACAGAAATTGCTTCCAGATTAATCGATTAATTTCGATTGTTTTTTGACTATTTCTACTATTTCACGTACTCGAAAAACATGTTTGTAAACAGCGTTTTCTAGTAAAATCGATGACATACAGTAATTAATACATAAAAACGTAATATTAATATTATTTTGAAGTATTTATGCACATCTAACAGGATATAAATATGCCAGAAATAATTGAAAAGTTTCTTCCTGGCGGAGAAGCGGTTTAAGTAATTTGAATCGCTTGAGAGTAAAACTTAAATTTATTTAAGTGTGAACTACTTTTAATTGACTGATAAAATTGTAAGTGTAGCATAAATAAAAAATTTCTTTTGATATACGCACATGCCATAAACAAATTCGGGTTTTACCACAATTTAAAATATTTCCTCTTAGAGTGATTAAGTTCATCTCAAATATGAAAAATGCAAAAAACAAAAAAATAAAAAAACTAAATAAAATAAAATTAAAATATATAACAGTTAATATTTTCGGGTTTACATTTTGTTCAAATTTAGTGTCATTTTAAAGGAGAACTTTCTCTTTTTCAACCGCACACCATCCGCATACGCATCCGAGTTCATTGAATTGTTAACATTCATACGAGTAAATTGTGCAAGTAATCGTATTTCTTGTACTTTGTGGTAAAAGAAGTATATAAATACGAGTTCATAGTTATTAATTATACTACCGAGTAACCAAATAATAAAAGTTGCGTAAACTTGTTATACTTACAGTAGCTAATTATCGATATTCACGTTTGAGTTAAATTATACGTTAAATTGCATAAATGTGAGCACATTTATTATTAATGAGATACTTTTGCCTTACAAGGTATTAATTTAGATATGACAATATAAATATAAAGTACAAACTAACTGACGCAGAGCATAGTTCAGAGACATGCTAATAATGGTTATATATATGTTTGAATAAAATATATGTACTACGCACTAAGGTATTATAATAGAATATTTATATATTTAAAGCATTTATTAAATATGTGTTTTTAAACATACTTCCATTAAGTTTTGCTTAATAATTATACTTAAAAATGTCGCACTTCATACGAACTATCCGATCAAGTTAAATACAAATCAATTGTGATATAAACACCTTTACTTCATTTGCGCAAGCAGTCGGTTCACAACTTAGCTCACATACCTATGCATAAAAAAAAAATAAGCACTGTGTTAACGAATAATATTAAAAACAAAAAATTTTAGACAAAAAAAAAGGTAAAAAGTGGTATTTAACAGCACTAAAAATAAACAAACACTTCATGTTAAGAAAACCTTATGTGTCTCCTTATGTGTTTTTAATGCGATCAACGTATAGTTGTAGTAGCATGATAACAAACCCAGTTAAATCACTCGCCATGTGGGTGGTTTCTGAACAGGTCACCACCACTTAGACACTAAAAAAAAATATATAATAATTTTGTATATCGTACCACATAAATGTTTATATTAAAATCACAGTTTATCATCAAATAATCTAACACTATAAGGTCTAATACTGTCTGAACTCTGTCTATTCATCTCAAAAATTATGTCCTTTCTCGTTACAATTCTCTAACACTCGTTTATGTATGTCGGTTTGAATATCTGCACACTCAAGTGTTGCCACAGTTGCCTATAATCTATCTACTCGTATCATCTCTCTCTACCGCGTTACATGTATTTTACTTCTCTTACACTTGTCTATGTAAGTCACGACCTGCCCACCTAAATGTGTTGCTATGGTTACCTATAAAGTACATAGACTTTGAAAAAATTTGAAGA